GCCTAGCCTTGTCCCATCTGTCCTCTCCACTACCTTGTCTCTCTTGTCCAATGCTTGTGAACTTGCGTGACGCCGGCGATAAAGGATCTAACGGCAAGCGCACGGGGACGATGGCCTGCTGCCTCACTGTTCATGGAGATTATGCAGCTGGTTTGGCCACCATGCTGTTTCATTGGCCGGCATCCCGACTCGCGGACTTACCGGAGCAGCAACTTGTGACATGGATCTTTGCATCAGTCTGCGACTTCCTTGCTTCCAGATCAGACCTCATTGGGGTTCGTGTACCGGACGCACCCTAGCACTTGGACTTTGACACTTGAACTACTACTACGCTTCTTGGACTTCTACCTATCGCAGCTGCTGAAGACCGCCTCTACCACCTACTCCAAAGACCTGATCAAGACCGCTGCAGACCCCCTTTCAAGACACTTGGACACCTTGTTCCTACATGAGATTCTGCTTCCGACTCCTTCGGACACACCAGCCTTTGCATCCTGAACAAACATTTTCATCTTTATTTTTCCTGACTTTGACAACCCTGTACAACATCATTAGCAGATCCTTGTTTCCCTAACCATTGTTCCCCGTACCCACTAGACCATCAGTAGACATCCCCTGTTCCCCTGACCATTGTTTCCCTTACCCACTACAACATCAATAGAAATACCCTGTTTTCCTGAACACCGTTTCCCTTACCCAGTAGAACATCAATAGAAGTTCCCTGTTCCCTGAACTCTGTTCCCCCTTAACCTATAGCGAACCATGAGTTCCCTTAGTTCATCAGTAGGACCACCCTGCTCCCTATCTTCCCTTTAGTTCATTCGTAGGACTACCCTGTTCCTCGCAACCCCTCCTAGTTCATCAGTAGGACAACTCTGTTCACCGGTACCAAACCCTGTTCCCTCCTACTCCCGCAGCCCATGCCACCCACATTATACCCCTCTTCCCTTTGGACTTGTTTACCAGTGATCGGCCCCGTCCCGTCCTTCACAGATTTCAGCATTGCTTCATGATTTTTGGCAGCCGGGACGTTGCCTTCTAGAGGGAGGGGATAGTGTTACGGACTCCGGCAGGGCTCGATCCCTGGTCTATCTTTTTGCTGTTTCAGCTGCATCTCGTTTTCGGCCTGGCACCCTTTTTCCAAACTCCTCCTTTGGTACCGTAGGATTTCGGACAACTGGCGCCATGCTGCAATTCGGGCCCCACTTTCAAATACTGCATTTTTCAGTTCTGCCCTCGGGGCCTTTGCAGAAATGCTCCTGGTACCGTACGTGTCACCGGTACTTATACCGGCTCCCCGTACGGTACGGGGACCAGTCTCGTACCAGTTCTCTGTGAAATCAAACTCGTCTTCTTCCCACTTTGTCATGCCTGCAAACAGCGGTACAGCAACTGGCGACATGCGCCCACACAGTACTCAAGATATCGTAACGAGATATGAGTTCTCTTCAACTGGCTATGGCGACTGGGCGCCCACACAACTCACTGTTCGCACTCTGGATCACCCTGGATGTCCCACACGCAACACTCAGTATCATACACAACACACACACACACCATG